CCACACCCTTTATTAGTATAACGTAGGTTAATACAGACCCTGAGACTCCAAAAGAAGGCAAAATGGCTCTCTGGGGGCAACCACAATAACTCAGCCATGTCCTCTTCGTTGCTTTAGCAACATCACGGCCGGCAGGAGATCCATGTCAAGCACGTCTATGAGGTATGCGGCACAAGCCAGGGCCGAACCTTGGAAAGGCACAGTCGTCCAAATTTCGTCCCGCTTCGGAATCCAAGAACCCCAAACCAGCCTGGGGACGGTTTACTCCCATGGCGCAGTGGACCAGGCAGCGTCCACCCGAGGAGCGTGCATTGTCCAACGCAGGCCGAATTGTTTTCAGGTAGTGCTCCTCAAGCAGACAAGCTTGCTGCAGTGCACTGCTCTTAGACTGCTCTTCGACTTGACTGGACTGGCGTCCCTGTAGGGACGAGAAGCTGCATCAGATCGTGCAGATTGCTTCCCCGAGTCGGGGTTGCGCATGTTGATTCATAATTTCAATGTCTTGGCCAGGGTAAACATTCTGTCTGCTCTACCTTTATAATTAAGCCTGCATTGTAAGCAGTATTGAAGGCCGTGAAAGCACGGTGATGACATCCATGCTCTACCATCTCTAGGCACGGCAAGGCGCGTCAAGTAGCCGGTACCCAGGTTCGTCATAAGCTTCGATACCGGTGTAGCACAGATTCCTGCTGTTCTCACCTGCAACATGGACTCTCTCCGACCTCCGCAAGCAATGATAGTACTATCCTCACTGAAGTAACCTGCATTGGGCTGTGGAGAGCTATGGCCTTCTGCAAACCAGGGTTCACAGCAGTTCCTCATCCAAAGCTGTCAAGCCAACAAGGCTCCACGCATTGCATCCATGGAAGCATCCATGTGCTGCATGATTCTGCATGGTCGCATGTGGTATCTGCATGATGAAGAAAAGTATTTGCAGCTACCGCAAGCTCAGCCAAGTTTCAGCACATGCGTCACAGCCTGCGGGTTGCCTCTGGCGGCCTGCTCAGCCGCAGGCTTCCCTCCCAAAAGGAGCCAATGATTGACTTCCTTAGCGGCTGAAGGAAGTACATCCAAACAAATCAGATTGCATCTGAAGGGCGTGTGTCTTGTGCGACATGGCTTGTAGTGCTGAAGGGCGTTTGGTTAGCATGGGAGTGATCAGCATTTTAGCATGATCCCATATTGCCGCAACACGTTTCCATGTAATCATCAGTGAGTACCCCAAACATGAAACCCAAGTTTCTCGAGCAGCCTAGTTGCAGCGGCTTCCACAGTAGTTGTACCTCCAGCTAGCTGCAGGGGCAGGAGCACCCAGAACAAAAGCAGGAAGGCATCAGGCAGGCGGGGCCTGGCCTTCGTGCATGAGGATTTCCTCAAGCTCGCGCATGCAGTCCTCCAAAGCCTGAGCGTAGCTCTTCCGAAGCTTGGGCCTTTGCCCCAGAACCAGGAAACCTGAAAAGCCTGGTTGACAAACAACGCTAAAACACAAAGCACAAAGCGGGATCGCCAAGTGACAAGTTCCTTCAGTGCGCGTTGCGCAGCTAGCTCATCTTCTGTGGGCTCCTGATTCGCAAATGATGTGGGTACACGACACAGATGTGTAGTCGCATCTGCTGATCTGCCAATCCCATTCTTGTTTGCATGTACTCTAGTCTTGGCAGCAGAAGCTCCACCGACACCAGCTCGCTGGTAACATGCTCCCCAGTTTCGGCTGTGACGCGGACACGGAAAGGGCCTGCAAGTCAACACGTCAAAAGCCACCCCCCTCCTTTGGCTTCGCATGCTTCGCACCTGCTCCCTCGTAGGAAAGGGTCAGGAAGTCAGCTTGGCCACCTACAAGTCCAGAATCTCTAGATGCATCTGTCAAGCAGCGCACCATGCACAGGCTCAAGCAGCTGTGGGCCCTGCCTGACGCTAGCTCTGTCAGCTCCCCGCGTAGCTTGCCGCAACCCTCCACAAGCTCCATGCGTAGGTAGCCATCGTAGTACCGATCCTATGTGCAACTTGGATAGGCTCCAGGCACATGACAGGCTTCCCGTCCCAACCCCTGCAGCCTGGCCACAGGTTGCCCGTCTTCAGCTGCTGTGACTACATGCCTTCGGCAACAAGGTGCAGCAGGGCCCACCCCGCCAGGTGAAATGTCTGCTACAGGCCTCCTCCAATAATTCAGACTCAGACCTGCCTCTGAAAAGTTCTTCCACATGCCACATCTTGATGGCGTTCTTCTTGGCAGTGCTTCATGGCAGCTGGGTTTTAAAGGCATGTCAGATTCGATGCCTGCTCCTGTTTCCGGAGAAGGCCGCAGGTCAAGAGTTGGACACATGGCATGTCCAAGCCCACGTAATTACAAATCTACGGCCCTGAACTCTATGCTCCCCGAATGCTCACGAACCTGAAGTCTGTGGCCAGGGTACAGGATGAATGGCCAGCCGGAGCGCACACCCTCCGGCAGGCCCTCGAAGATGAGACGCACCATGGCAGGGTACGGACAAAGGCCCGCTATGAAGGGGGACTCCTGCCTATGACACCTTAAGCTTCACTAGCAAGCTCGAGGGAAAAGGAGCAAGCCGCACAACAGAACCCCACAACCCCACGTCACACTTGGTTGCGGACTGTGCATTCTGCTGGTAAGAAAGGAAAGCTTTCGCTCCCGCTGAGACGGAGCAGAGGCGCAGAAGCACCTGGAAGCAAACACAATGCAAAAAAAAAACAAGTCACTGTAGAACGTGATGGGACTGTCGGTACATCATACATTGGATACCTAGGTGATTGATGACGTGGCCTGCAAGCAAGGCTGCGCTAGCGTTCCGTCCAATCCCGGCAAAGCATACAACAGATCCAGGATCAAGGTGACCTGCGGAGAGGCACCAATGTCAAGAAAGACTGTCCTGTAGTCAGAATCCAGCGGCCCCACCCAGGTCTGCTGCGTATCCTTGTCCAGTGCCTCCCAGGATTGCAGTCTCAGCGAAAATTTCAAGGCACCTGCTCGCGTGATATGTTCGCACCATGAGGTTTGACTCCCAGTTGGGTATCCCAAGCAGCTGTTTGCTTAGGAAATATCCGTGCTGGAACATACCATGTCAGACGCCACACCACCTGCGCCCCCTCGGCCTCTCGGCTTTCCCTCATCTTCACAAGGTCCACCTGACAGATGAGCTTCGTGGTTTGTGGGAAAGATCATGGATGCTGGGCATCACATCAGTCCCATACGTTCATGTACCGCACTACTGTACCTTGACGCATATTGTCGCGCGCATGATCGCATAGGGCAGCACAACATGTGTCAATGTAGAGAGCCATGCCAAGCAATGTCATAGCAACTTCCGGTATGAGGACGCAAGGCAAGCTCTTCACCTTTTAGCATCAGCGGCCTGGCCAAGAAGCTGATGTGCGCACACCTCGCTGGGCAATCTTCTGTTAGCACACAAAGCCAAGCAACTCCTTGCAGATCGAGCCCGCGGCAATCGTTGCAGTCAGCCATGGAGGTGGTGCGAGCAAAGGCTCTCCTACTCCTGCACGGAATCCCTAAAAGTCCCAAATACCGGCAATGAAGCTCGCAGCCTGAGGGCACAGGGGCACAGGTGCCGAAGTGCAGCATACGGTATCCCCGCTCCTCCACAGAGCTCTCAGTGCAGCACACTGCTCCCAATCCCTCAAAGAGCAGCGACAGCAGGCTTGGGGCTGGACTGCAGCAGACTTCGAGAAGTCAATGCCCATGGTGCACCTCAGGCAAGTTCACACGAGCTCAGGCAAGACCACGGGCAGCTGAGACCGTAAGGCTACTGCCAGCGGTGTAGCTTCCCCAGCAGTTCGGCAATACCCCTGTCGCCTTGAGGCAATGCTGGCCACTACCCAATTAAGGCCACTTTTGGCTCCTTCCACCCGTGTGCTGTATGGTCCCCAATGCCGTTGTGGAGGCTTGTATCTTAGTGTCGAGTCTGGTGGGCCTGGGCTTGCTTGTCGTTCTCTCATTGAAGCATGTTGTCTTCTGAACGGCGCAGCACTGCAGCCAACAGAGCATCATCTCAACTGAGGAGTTTGCCAAGCGTCTTGCTCGTTGCTGGTCGGCGGTGGAACAAGTTGGCCAGAATCTGGGCGCGCGGGCAAGTTTGATGTGCATCGGCTCTGGGCTAGAGTCGGCTACAACCTACCACAAGCGGTATGAATGCCTCATCAATGAAATGTGGAACCATGTCAGTACATGGTGAGCCAACCCTTCAGTACACGCGTGCCGTGCAAGCCTCGCCGTGTGCCTTCGCAGATGCGCCTTTTGAGCACGAGGCTCGCATGATGTTTGAACTAGACGCCGTCGCTAACATCGGCATAGTACAGTTGCCACCGGAATTGCGATATTTCTCTCAACTGACTACTCATGAACCCCTTCCGTCTGAACAGTTGCGCCACCGCACTTCCGGTGGTCAATGCCTTGCAAAGTATTGAAACTAATTCCACTACCTCGACAAACAACGGCGCAAGCTCGTGCAGGGTCTGGTACCGGCAGAAGAGAACTGCTGCGTACTAGGCCGGAAGCAGAAAATGGCGGTTCCGTAGCTTTGAAACATAGCTGGAACCATTTCAAGGATAAGCGTGCCAATGTTCATTGATGTGCAGAACAGTCCGGGTCAAAGGTGAACGGCAAATGCGCCGCAGTCTTGGCTCGTTTTGCTCAGTGCAACGCATAGGCAAGCAATTGGCAAATAATGTCAGACGTCCATTCGTTTCTGGACCCGGCACTGCATGCTGCACGCGGGCTGTCCGCACCGAAAAGAACACGGAGACGGCTGCCGCTTCAAACGCAATGATTTCAGGATTGCGGACTAAAGAAACATGGAAGGGGATCTTCGAACCCAGTCCAAGAAATTTAATAAGTTTGGTTCTAGGACCCCAAGGCGCGATGACAAAGTCGACAAGGCGCGTCTGTACAGTTTGGAGACCCGGACTAACACACAACAAGCGATTATACTTGCTCGCCTCAGCGCGAGAAAAACGGAAGGCATAGCTTAGCACTTCACATTAACACTGAGACACGGAAGCTTTGGCTCGGCATTCTCTTGCATCAGCCCCACTGCATCCCGCAGGCAAAGTACACGGCCCTGACTCCGCAGCAACTCCAGGACCTGCCTGCTCTGGGGTACCTTGGACTTCACAGCGAAGTCGATGGCAGTGCGTCCCTTGGAGGTCCGCTGCTCTGGATTAGCGCCCGCTGCCAGGAGCATCCGGACGACAGCGGCATCCCCCTTCTGTGCTGCTACGTGGATGGGATAAAGCGTCTCAGCACGGAACAACATGCATCCAGTGGGCAGCCGCGGCTCCGACACATCTGAGGAAAAGCCGTTTTCCTTCAGAAACCTGAGCTTCAGCCGCGGGTTTAAAAGCATGTGCGCATGGAGTCATGGAGGAGCACTAAAGCTCGAGACCCTGTTGTTTTTCGGATTCCCTGCCTTCACTGTGGCTTCGCTTCATGTCAACAAACAAGAGATTCCCCACCCCTTGTCTGTCTGAGGGAACAAGTTACGTTGCGTTGGTCGCGAATCCATGACAAGGCCATCATACCTCCCGTTTAAGGCAATGCTTTGAATGACTCTGCTAGTTGAGGAGCTGAAGAAGCTGCTCCTGCCGCTGGAGGTGTAGCTTCCGACGCTTGGAAGATGTTCTACTGCTCTGCGGGATGTTAACCTGCAAGGCGCCTGATTCCCAGGCGACCTTGTACTTCTCAGCACAATCGGTTCCACTGCTCCTTGTTGAACAACTTGAGCCTGAGGATAGCCTGCTGTTCGCACTGAGCTTGGACGAGATGAGGAAGCTGCTCCTCTCCAGCTCTGGCTCTGGGAGGATCATGCCTGTCCCTGGCTTCAGGGGGGAAATCAAGACGATCAGCTACCTCGACCTCACGCTCCGAGCCAAACTCCGCCTATGCATCACATACTAGAAGCTGCAAATCAGAAACCGCAAGGTTCTGAGCTTCTGGCCTGCGTCACGCAGATGAGGGCGTCCTTAGTGGCTCCATCATCCCCATCTCGCATGTCTGCATTCCTCTCAGAGCACACTTGCTCAACGCGCAGCTACTGCCTACATTGCCTACCTACCCACAGACTGTTTGAATGCTGGAAGCCATCCGAGGTTGACTGACCATTCCCGGGTAGCTGGCAGAGGTCGGTAGAACGTCCGCATCTCCCAAGTCATCGATGCACGCAGATACAACAGCCTTTTAGGTCTGCAAAAGCTGTGACTCTTGGGCAGGAAGAAGCATCACCATCACTACTAGCTGAGCCTTGACTCCTGTACCAAGATCACCCCTCCGTCTCTGAAAGACCGCTACAGAGATTCCTCAGCGCGCAAAGAAACCAAAAGCCCCACTGCCTTGCTGTTGGAGTCGGCGTCCCCCTCGCCTGGCAAAGTCTGACTGGGGCTCGCCTTGACATTGCATGCCAGAGGGCCGTAACATTTTCCCCAAACTTCCAGGGAAGGTCATAGCAACAGATTCGACAAAACCTGCAGAAGTTTGTGGGGGATCATCACAAACCTCTAAGCAAGCGAGCCAGGAATCACGTTCCCAAAGCGGCGAAGAGTTCTCTGCCACATAACACATAGTATCCACCACGGCATTCAAAGCCTTGGGCACCTCCCACAAAAACGCTGGCAAGATCTTTTCTGATTCCAGAGGCAACGTTCAAACCATCCCCAGCTTCGGGTCCTGGCCTGCCGACCACAAGTCAGCAGTCTCGGAAGCAAGTCCTTTGTTGCAGAAGATCGTCTCGCATAGGTGAACAATCTGTGACTTGTGTCTCTGCGTGCTGATGGACTTGAACGCAATCCTGAAGGCAATTTGGTGTACATAGGTTGTAAATTTGGAGACATGCAGAAAGATCTCCAGAAATCTCCAGTCTACACACCTATAGATGTTGGCAGGAACGGCACGCGAAGAAGCCACCGGATGTTGGATGTCAATCTGGTTTGTAAGCTGCGCCATGAAATTCATACCTTTTGTTCTTCTAGCTTGCTTGTTGCTAAGCAAGTTTGTCCATCCACAATAACTTAGGGCAGCCTCCAGCAAGTCGGAAAGGAGCTTCTGAAACTCTTCCGGAGGCACCTCGTTATTTCGGACAAGTTAAACAGATGCGCGTCTTCATCTGTACCTCCAAACTAATGCTCGGTAGCCAACTGCTTGACGCAACAATGTCTCCGTCGCCTGGCAGAACAACCAGTTGGATCACTCGGAACTCTGCAATCCTTGTTGACCAATGCATTGACAACCTGACATGTGCAACCTTGGTTCGCCCCATCTTAAATCAACCCTTAGCGGAACTGGGCGGAATGCTGATTTTACTGTTGTGGGGACCTCAAAGGCTTCGGCCGCCACAGTTAGGTTGGAGTAGGTAAGGAGGGGGGCAGAGAGGGAGGATCACACGTGTGGTAGATTATACATGTGTATACAGCTGGCATGCTGCAGCAGAAGCTGCCGCGATGCCAACATTGACAGAGACTGCCAAAAAACAAAACTTAAAGAAGAAAAAAAAACGACTAGTGTCTGTCTCACTCGTGACATGCTTGATGCTCGAAACGCCATGGTTGCGTGTCGCACCTGGGCCTGCGGATTGGCCTCGTCAGATGCCTGTCTGAGAGGGCTGGACATCAGTCCAAGCAATGACGGGGCACTCTGCTCCCCTCACGTGCATGATCGCAGCTAGAACATGTTTTGCTCTTTTCTGAAGCGGGTGGTGCCTCACCATCAACAGTTGGATTCGCAACCTTATTCGCAGCTTTGCAAGTGTATCAAGAAAGGTCGACCTGAAGGACTGCTTGCGGCTCAGTCTAGACCTGCCCATCAACGTGTCGTCATCCATCACCCAGTGTCTGCCAGTTGTAGGGACAGCGCCATCCAAACGATGAGCTGACTGATGTCTTCTGTGCCTCACAGCAATTACGTCATGTCTCATGCCACACCTGTATACCAGAGTCAAGAATCCTCTGGCAGGACATTGAACATGGCTAAAGAAACACCCAAAGGCACTATACTTAGCGCCACTACGCACAATACTGCCTTGTGTCAGACACATGCACATAATTCAGAAGGCATCAAGACCACCAACAAGCCTCGGGATCTGAAATGGCGGAGCGCTGCCTCCACCTGCACTCTGAAGGTCAGGGATGAAGTTGGATCCGCTTCCATACTGCGTATGCGCCAGACCCCTTTCTCCCCTTCCGCAAAAAAAATATCTTCAATGTGCGCCCAAATGGGGTTGTTCAATATTGCCTTTTCCCAAAGATGCGTCTGTCACGTCCACTTTCCAGGCCCTTTCGTGCCCTGCTGCAAACACCAGAAAAGCAACCGTTTGCTCTCTGATCATGTTCTATCAGCCAAAACATACCCACGTGTCCTTTACCGGCCTGCATTTGCGAGGGATAAGTTGGACCACTGCTGACCCTTTCGCGCTCCTTTCGCGCGTGCCGTTTTTGGCATCTTCAACAACCCATGTTTGCCGTGCTTACAGTTTTTTAGATAGGGTTTGTTGAATGAGACCCATCGAAGGGGCTCGGCTGGAGTTGCTGGCATTTCTTTCCATCCTCCCGTGTCAGAGGGGGCCTTGCAACCACGACAACAAAACAGACATACTCACCATGACAGGACGTTTTCTCACCACAGCAAGTAATGCACGGGAGTAGCACGACAACACTCATCTGCTCCCCCTATCAGAGCCCAGATTGTTTGGGGGTACGCATTTTGGGACTTTTGAGGGCCCAAACTCCCAACATTTGTACTCCCAGCTGCTCCCCCTGATCGCTTGGGGGTACGAATTTTGGGACTTTCAAGGGCCCACACTCCCAAAAGGTGTAATTACTCCCAGCTGGTTCCCCCGTCAGAGCCCAGATCGCTTGGGAGCACGCGTTTTGGGACTTTCAAGGGGCCAGAATGTGTTTTCGTGCCACATGTTGCCAGCACTTCTACAGACTAGTTGCAGAGACTCAAATACATGTTCCAAACTTGTCGGGATCACCCCAAATCCTAATCACTGTAAAAAGCAACCTGTCGTAGTGAGAAACAACATGTCAAGTCATTCTGGGCTGCGGGATGAATTCTTGGCTTAGGCTCCAGGAGTTTGGGTCTAGGTTGTTGATTGGCGATCAAGGTTAGGGGTTTCGCATTGGGCCATTGGGGTTTGGAGGGTTAAGCTTGATGTGTGGTGCATGGCGTTGGGGCTCATGGGCTGAAGGTTCTTTACACAGCAGTGCTATCTACTAGAGCGGCCTTGGCTTGCCAACTCTACTGCTCCATCTGATCTGCTCAAAGAATTGAGTAAGCCCGGGCGGCAAATCGACCAGTGACCCACATTTGATCCCCACATGCTTACTGCGATTTCCACGATTCAGCAACTGCAGGGCTCACCCGCGCACGCGAGAAGCCCATGCCCACCAAAGTGCCTTCAGTAAAAAGAGGCAGCTGACATAGTAGTTTGAAGCTAATTGCAGACAGACCCCGAAACAATGCAGTACAGATCGAAGCAAAGCCAGGCCCAGTCATGCAATGTCTCCACAGCCATACAGTGCACGAAGTCAGGGCCCGGCTCTGGATATTGCTGCCACCGGTTGTAGCGGCTGTAGCTGCAGAATCCGTGTTAGGAGTGGTTGAAGTTGTGGAAGTAATGCCAGCAGCGGCGGCCGCTGCAGCTGCAGCGGTGATGGCAGCGCTGGCCTCCGTGGCGGCGCGGTTGGTTTCCGCTAGGCGGCTGTCCGCTGCTCTGGCAAACTCCTGAGCTGGCGGAGATGAATCTGTGCTCTATCGAAAGAAGGCTTAGCAAAGCATGCTTAGCAGCCTGCCTGTTGCACGTGCTGCATGCCTGCAGCAATGTTTGGAAGCGTCGGAATGCCTCAGAACGCCCAAGCGCATGTGACTTAGTACTACCAGTTAGAGGGCTCGCTTTTTGTTTGACCCGGTCAGTCGCCTCCTTGAATGGGTGTCTAGCTCATGGCGCTACTGCTGCAAGATGTGAGGCTCAGTTCCAGGCTGGGAAGCCGATGCCAGTCCGGTGGCACGGTTCTGGGTTCGTTCTTTGGCTCTTGCAGCAAGTGCAGCCACACCTGCGCACATTCACACGCCAGATTCTCCGAGACTGCTACGAACACCCCTTTCAAGGAGAACATCTGCAGAATGTTTGGATTGTATCCGGCGGACGGTGCAGTCCTCACGCCTTCAGGAGGGAGCAGCAACTGGACCGTGGGAAGCTGGCGAAGCTCGGGTGGCGCCAGACCGGAAGCAGACATCGGAGGGCTTCTGCCTGATGTAAAGTACTAAGGCTGCATGCAGAATGATGCTGCTTGATGTCCAGTTCTTCTGGGGGCAACCTAATTTTCAAAGAATTGAACAGTCTTCACAAGGAAGCATCCCGCCCGCGGAAAGGCCATTAAATCAAAGAACCAGAGTGCCATACTGTGTGAAAGCGCCTTAGAACCTCAAAACCTTGGACTTGACAACTGACTTTGACTGGCCTGGATGGACTTGCACAATGCTTCCTGCAAAGGTCATGGACTACGATCCGGCGTGACTTTTTCTCCCGGCACTCTCCCGTCCTTGGTCATCATGGCCTCCTCTCTTAGGAATGTGTTGGCAAACCTGCGTGTGGAAGTCACTTTCTCGAAGTAGCCCAGAGCCTCCAATGTTCACAGAATTAGATGCATTTTCCTTCGAAACTTCCAGGCCAACAGCTCTGCTTGCTTATCTCACAGAAGATCTTGGGGTCGCGCCGCCGAAAGGGCCGTGCCAGCTGCCAGCTCCTCCTTGCTATCCCCAATCTTTGCCAAGGCCATCCTCGGCTGTTGCCACATGTTGCCACATGTTGGGA